AAAAAAAAAAAAAAAAAAAAAAAAAAAGAAAAAAAATATCCAAAATTAGCATACAAATCTCTAAATAATTCGTTAGCACGAGTTTCCATTCTAACCGCAAAACTATTGCTTTTTCCGGTCGACGATCGAGCAAACCGCATCCCGTGAATAATGTCATCACGCGATCATTTTTGCCGCGCTCACGATCGTGAGTGATCGGAAAGGGGAGAGAAGATTCGAAGGATGATAATAAAAGTGAAGCAGAGCGGTGGAACATTCGTCTGGTGGGCAACACAAAGACGTTGGTTCGACCGTTCCACGCGAAGGAAATCGAGGATCCGTGCGGTCGAGAGAGACGTGTCGTGGTGAATATATATACAATGTTGTGCGGAGGATCGACCTCGCAGGAGGATCTTTCGAACCGAGAAGCCGGTTCCGCAACGCACGCGTTGTCGTCGCGCGCCACGAACCACACGCCAATGCAACTCGAGCGTTGCGAGGACAAAGAAACACACATCCGACGCATTGTGCATGCGAAAAAAAAAAAAAAAAGAAAAAGATCGGTGATAATAATAACGTAACACTGGTGATAGCTTCACGAGAGAAGACACGAGATTACACGTTTCTGGGATTTAATTTTTGTATTTATATTCATAGTTTGTTCGGTTTTTTTTGTCCTGTTTTTCTTTGAAGTTGGTTCTATCTTGTATCAATTTTATATAGGTATTGTTTGTAGATAATTCAAGTAATGGTATAGTTTTTTTTGGATAAAGGAATTCGCGAATTTAAATGTTTATCGGTTTTTATATCGATCGTGTTGATTTTCCAATTCATAAATATTATCATTCTGTTTATTTGACATCGAGAGACAAATGGAAGTTAGAGAGATTTGTGTAATTGGTAATTTAGACGATAAAGGAAAAGATCTGTGTAAATTTAAACGTGTATTTAGAATTAAAATGTAAATAATTTGCTGAAAGTTAAATATCGCGTAGACGTAGCGATCTCTTTATAAGAGTAACTTGTAAAAAATTTAATCAATCTTCATATATCAAAGTAAACTTTCCCTCCGAATTACATTTTTACCTTATCATTTTATTATCGATATTGAACGTTTCTTCTTCGCCGATATTACACAAATACTACATAACAACGAATCATCATCGATAACGCGTATCCTGTAAAATTACAATCATTATCTACAATTAAACAAATTAAAAACCAACTTCAAAGAACTTCCTCCTGCATATCTAACGTAAACACAGATTAATCGTCAAATAAGAGCATAAAATTTTCCCGATAAGATATTAAACTCTTCCTTTTCCTTTAAAAAAAAAAAAAAAAAAAAAAAAAAAACATCAATTAAACCTCCCGAGGTTCCGATATCTTTGCTCATGATTAAAATTTCGTATATAATTTGCGAACACTTATCACCGGTGTCGAGTTTTGCAAGCGCAGCCAACGGCTCGAAATCAGCATAGATAACAGTCGAAGTAAACGAGCACACATACAAACGAGCAAAACAGGAAAGCGTAGGAAGTCGAAAAGTCATGCAACGATGGTAATACGCGCAGTGGAAGTGCGAGGAAAGGAGTGACGTTCAGGTCGCATGATGCGGCTTACCTCGTGGCCTGCTTTTGTGCCCAGGCCGATCAATAGTCGCACCACCAACTTCCGGTCCTAAAGTCCGTCCGTGCTTAAGGTTAAACCAGTCTTTGATTATTCGGATAACAGGGACACGTTTGTGCCTCATTCTATTTCATCGTCAGCCTCGAAGGAGCGTATATACTATAGCGTATAGAAGAAGCGGTCGCAGGATTGAGATCATCGGGGGGGCCATATTGGCGTGGTCGTGTTGATCGATTTCTCGATTAAGTGTCACAAGCGTAAATAGAAATGCATTCAAAAAAAAAAAAAAAAAAAAAAAAAAAAAAAGAAAAAGAAAAAAATGATCGCGATTCGAAATGCAAGAGCGATCGTGAAAGCAATCGATTTCTTTTGTCTTCGGTTAATACTCCTAGATCACTAGCGCCTTTGCCTCCAAAGGCTTTTTTCTTCGTAGGAATGTTCTAGAAACGATGTTAGAAATCGTTCGTATCGTTTTGTCGTTTATTTGGTAGAAACTTAGAGATTTCTTTCTCAATTGGAACGAGAAGAATAGAGAAAAAAGGAGATCCGTAATGTGCAAAATATGACCCCTTAAATTCAATCCTTAAAATAACGGCGCGATGTATTTTATTGGATGTATTAAGAAACTTCGTCTTTACGAGTTCTTTTCATTTTTTTTTTTCCGAGTTAAAAAGCAAGCTGTTAGTAAGTTAGATGTTTGTGAATTCTAAGTAATTGAAACGCGACTCTCGTTATTTTCACGCATTTCTCAAAAACACACCAAGTACGTTTCTTGTTAATTTTAGTGCTGGTTATAAAAAAAAAAAAAGAAGGCAGGAAACTGTAACGATCGATTCCTCGACGCCACCAGTTCACCACCGTGACCAATAGTAAAAGCACTCTAACCATACCATCGACATTTTCGACCTCGAACCGATCATTCGACGACCTCCTTAGCCTCTGCCCAAGTTACCTCCTTCATTGATCGCGTTTGTCTTTCAATTCGAAATCTTTCTTTGATACGAACAATGATATCTTAAAAAAGAAAAAGAAAAAAAGATTCGATAGAAAAGCTCTAAAGTGCTTCTTTTTTATAAAAAATAACGATACAATTTCAAATCAATTATTAACAAATTTGAATTCCTTTTTATCGAATTATTAATAAAATCGTAGATATTCAATCTCAATATGAAAAGATTACTTCGTCAAATATAATAAATTTCATTGCAGAGTAGAATGAAATAAAAAAGAAGCAATAGCATTTCAAAAATTGCTAAAGTGAAATTGAAAATAAGATAAAGATTAAGAATAGTAGAATCGAAACATTGTTTTGAAAAAATTTTAAAAACTTATTAAATATATATATATATAAACTCGATCGATTTTCTGTTAATTAAAATTTACCTTTCACTTTGATATTTTTAATTTATTTTCACATGTCTTGATAACCAAATTTCACAAACAAGTTTTTTACTTCTGAAACTTGACAATCTGAAGAACGATATTTCCATTAATAATTCAATTTACCATTTGCTTTGAGATATCATTACTCCAACGATTCTCCTTAACTCCACTTGCATATTAAAACATGCTAAAAATATATATTCGTATCAATCGTGCATCGAATCTATCCAACAATATTACTTAACCCCTTAACTAGACAGCGGAACAAGTATCCAAGAAAGGTCCGAGGTCGATAAACGGCGAAAAGACGAAGCGAAACAGCGTGTCCCGCGACCATCACCCCTACCTGCCGACCGGTTTTTCCCCTGTACACGCAGACAATATCGTATAAGGCATTACCTTGAGACGATCGAGACGCTCTCACGGCGGTCCACGATCAGAGGGTCCTTTTTCCTCAGCTCGACCTTGGGCGAGGCGAAACTGAAAGCCTTCTTGACACTCTCGAGGACGCTTTGTCCGGTGGTCTGTGTTTGGTCGACGATCGTCGTGCTTTTGTACACGTCTTCGCCCAGGTCGCCTAGCGACCTGTACGAAGCGCCAATACCTGCCGGCATGGCGACCCTTTTCCCTCTGCTGTTACTCGCCCACGATGACAAACCCCGATCCTCGACGACCTGTACGGACGTCTTCGACAAGGATGATCCTGTCCACCGTTAAAGGTGGATCTATCTTTCTTACTTCGCCGTTCCTCACCCGACACTCTCGTCCCTCCTCGTTTGCCGCCCCTTTGGCCGTTGGTGTAGCCGCGTTGATGATGCTGATACGCGTGCCCGAAGCCGAGATACGCCAATATCGTGCGTCAACAAGGCAAACGAACGGGCAAACGGGCAAATAAAGAAAATCCAAGATAAGGAGGTTCCATGTGAACAAGCTCGGAGCTATCGATCGAGGTATTGGCAAACGATTTTCTGATATGAAAGGGTTGTCACGAGTAAATAATGGTGGGGATAATCGTTCTGTTCTATCGCGAATCGAGACGATCAGGAAATTGTAAACGTTTCGATGAAACGGATTAATTATTTGCGATAATTCGATGTTCGAAATTATTTTTTTAATCAAGATTATATTCGATAAATTATTATTACACGAGATGTTCATGTTTGTTTGAATGGATTAATGCAATATTGTTTTTTTTCCATCATTGTATTATGTTTACAAATTATTTGAAAAAGTATCTTTTTTATGCTGAATATTTCAGAATATTTTGATTTTTATCCTTTTCAATTTGAAGAATAGAAATATCAAAGTTTTAAAACTTTCCTCTGAAGAAGATAAGAATTTTTATATGAAAGTTTAAATCGTATTCAAATGTAGAAGTGTTTCAAAGTTTCCACTGTTATATAGTTAAGTTACTGATAATTATATAATATGTTTATATATGAAAGTTTGCAATTTAATTATTTTGATTACCTTGTATTTCAATCCCAAGTCTGATTTAAAGTTCGGAATTTAGTGATTTAGTATG